CAACTACACATCATTCTACAACCGTCACTCAGACTCCCAGCCACAGGTAGGAGGCTCAGATAAAGCCAACGTATTTCTTAAGTAAAAACCCCAAAGCAAGTTTTAAAAACAGTAAACAGATTTAAAGAGAATAGACTTCTTTTGTAGTTGAAATGCTCTAGGTTGCTTTATTTTATTAAGCTTACTTTCCTTCTTTGATTCTTTTTACTGTTTTATTTTTTCCTTTCAAAAGAAGCAAGTCTCGGTATCAACATATTAGCTCACTTCTTCACAATTGCTGCCTTTTTTTCTGTGGATTTCACATCACACCATTAATTTGCACTTACAGAATTTGGACCATGATGAGTTCCTGAATTTACTTGGAAAGAATCATTATTCTTTCATGTACATAATTTGTCTTTGCTTGACGTAGAATCAGGGGTGGGATTCTACCAGTTCTGTCCACCTCTGTAGAATCGGTTGCTCTGAAGAGCAGCAGACATAGAACCGTTTCTATGTCTGCTGATGTTTTTGCCCACCTGGGCTCTTACCTGATCTTTATTTCCTGATTTTTCAATCTCAGCTGCTTTGTGCGTTACAGCTGTGGTTGAAAAAGCAGGAAAAAAGGGCTTTTTCAACCTCTGCGCACCCACACGCAGCGCTGCTCAGCTGTCCGGGCAGCTCAGCAGGTTGTAAATTGCACTCACATGACTCACGCATGCATGTGCAACACAGAGCAATAGAACCGGTAGTTATACCGGTCAGATCAGGGGTGGGATTCTACAGGTTTGCACCTATTCAATAGAACCGCTTGTTAACATTCTAAGCAGTTTGGAGAACCGGTTGTTAGAAGAAATTACCAGCTTAATCCTGTAAGGAAGGCAGGAAGGAAACATTCTGGTGTTGCTTACAGAAACTGCCTCTCCATTAACCCTTATTACATTCTTGGCAGGACTAGACTTCCTATCTCAGGAATGTCTCTGGAGTTTTTTCCCCACTCCTTTGCTGATAATTTGCTTGTGTGGAGTGACCATTGAAAAAGTGACTAATGACCATTTTTCACACTTATGACTGTGGCAGCATCCCCACAGTCACAAGAGACCAGGTGAGGAGATGCGTGCCTCGATGTAAGTGATGTTGAGTTGGCTACGCCCAACCAGTAACATGACCACCAAGCCATGTCCACCCAGTCACATGACCACCAAGCCCTGCCCATCAGTTGTGGGAGAATGATCACCTCAATTCTTCAGCAACATAATGAATGTGAAACACTATTGTCCAACAGATGCACAGAGGATCCTGTCAAGCTCTCTTTCTTTTCACTTTCCAGTTCTTGAATTTTAAAATGTTTCTCTTCTGTTTTTCATAACGGCTCATGGTCAGTTGGAGTAATGGTCGGACTGAAAGCATAATCTCTGAAAGTCATTCAGCCCTTGTGTGCTCCTCAGTTGAGAACAGCCGCCATGCAAGCCCCTCAGGACCTCGCGGTCGCCTCAATGGCATTGGTGGACCAAGAGAATACAACAGTTTTCTCCGGCACGCACGAGAGACACCAGACTCTTACCGTGATTCACCGCACAGTGAAAGGTATCCACAGGAGCTGATCATAAGAAAGACACCAATCTGAAATACTGTAGGGCAGTGATGGTGAACCTTTAGAGACTGAGTGCCCAAGCTGCAACCCAAAAACTCACTTATTTATCACAAAGTGCCAACACAGCAATTTAACCTGAATACTGAGGTTTTACTAACCTAAAATAATGATAAATAAGGCAGAGTTCAGCTAATTATTCTAAGAAACACGTGATCAATGCACTTTTATGCCCCTTCTTTTTTTCTCTGCTTTTGAAATATTATGTTTAGCGATGATAAAAAATAAAAACTTTTGTAATATCATTTCTCTCTTGCCCTCCCTCTTTCTTTCCCCCCTTTCTCTTCCTTTCTGTCTCTGTCTCTCTCTCTCCCTCACTCTCTCTCTTTCTGTCTCTCTCCCCCTCTCCTGGTGGGGAAAGAACCCCTGAACTGGTGCTGGGTGGTGGGAATCCCAGGAGCAGCACATTGACAATCAGCTGGTCAGTGGAGAGCCGAACTCCAGCTGGCCGGTGGAGAGGTGGTGGGGCATCACAACACCGGCAGCTCTGCAAGAAAAGCCACTGACCATCCAGGATGCAGAAGCGAGCCCACGATGACACAGCGTCAGCTTGTGGGTCTGCGTCGTAATGGGCTCCAGGAGGAAGGGACCCAGTCTCCCCCATTGGCGAGACAGTGAGAAACACGATGGAGCTGGGCTGGGGTGATGACATGCAGGCCCACAAAGAGGGCTGTGGGTGCCACCTCTGGCACACATGCCTTAGGTTCGCCACCACTGCCTACTGTAGGGCATATCCAGATCCTGACAGAGAGAGAACTGCAGCTTGAAAGCTTATCAGGGTTGGTGGGTTTTATTTGGGGATATATTATTTTTTTGATCAATAAATTCTAAATGGTGGTTTTGTACGTTAATATTTATATAATAATTTGCCATTTTCAGAGTGCTTTGGTGCTTTTGTGAAAGGTTTTTTATCTGTTGTTTTTTTACAGTTAATCCATGTTTCTTTAAAGCTATTTCCTCATGATTTTGTAGTTGCACTGTGCCAATGTAATGGTGGGAAAGCTATGCCTTATATCACCACTGGTTAACTCTAGAACATATCATTAGTTTTGCATGAAAAAAATGGCCAAAATCATCTTCACCACTGTAGCATGTGGTGATCAAGGGGTGCAATTTATATTAAAAGTGTGGAAAAAAAAATACAGTTTGAGTGGAGAAACAACCACAATAGCAATATAACTAGACAAGAATTGAAAATGAATGTTTAAAAGTCAGTGCTAAATGAAGTTGCATTCTTTTCCATTTAATAAGATTTTGTTAATTGGCTATTCATAACTTGTACTGAACAGATAGGCAAGTTAAAAGCATTTCTTCCTTTCAAAATAAAGATGAGAAGGTAAACAAAGCTCTGCTATTTGGGACAATACCAGAATCCATGAATCAATACAATCTTCACATATTTACTGCATATTAGTTTTACATCTTATTAATTTCTGATAAAATTATCTGGATTGTGGAGAATGTTTGACTGAATTGGCTCATTCCTTCACCTAACAGCATCATCTTGTTTCCTTTCTGGAAAGCGAAGCTGACCTGTGCTTTCATTGATTCCTAGTTGATGAGGTAAAATCCCACAGAGTGCAAAAATATCAAATGAATAAATAAATTATAAATAAATAAGCCATATTCTCCTCAATACCACTTGGTACTGTTTGACTATTTTATTATAGAAGTAGTCTGAAAGGTGGAGTCCCATTGCTCTACAATACTTACATTTGCTTTTGGACCAATTTTTAAAAGTATAAAATTGCACAATTCCTTTCTAGTTATTTGCACTTCCAGGCCATTAATTCTGTGAACATTAAAGTTTAAATATTTAACTCTCTAGAGTAGCTTTTATGATCTATATTTCAGCTTGGGTTTTTTTAATAGCTACAAAACCTGGAAATGTGAATAAAAATTGGGAAAATGAAACTATTTGAATTTTGCATGTTGACATTGTAGAAGACCAAAACAAGAAATGCTAAAGAACGTCCAAAGTCTTCTTGGCTCTGGGTCTTATTCCCAAATGGCCATGAAATCTTTCTTAATCTTAAACTTTGGATAGATGTATTCAATGCAGTTGCTTATAATAAGGTGGAAATCTTTTTAAAAAGACAATGAAGAAGGAAGAGATTCAAGCACTCTTTAAAAAAAAAAAACACTGCGTGGCTAGTAGCAGGAGCCCCATTATATCTTTAGAAATGTCAAGAGATTCCAAGGCTAGAATAAATCATAGATTAAATTGAGTTGCATTGCCAATATTCCATCTTTTCAGGCATTGGATTTACATGTTGGAAATCAAGAGAAGTGAATAAATGATCATTTAATTGTTTTTAGCTAAATTTAAAGTTAAAGTTAAATTTCAGTATAGCTAGTAGCAATTTATAGAAGTTGCATTTCTACTTACAGAATATGTGGCTGTTACATCTGAATTCAAATGCTTATTACTATCATAGAAGAACAAATACTTCTTACCACCATCATAGTTTTATCACATCCTTATTCTTCAGCTTATTTTTTTTTTATGTGTACTTCTTTAGGTACGTATCTGCCATGACCACGCCAGCTCGCATGTCTCCTGTAGATTTCCACACTCCAAGTTCTCCAAAATCACCAGCTTCAGAAATGTCACCACAAGTCTCCAGTTTAACAATGTCTGTCCCGTCTGTAGCTGTCAGTCCATTTATAGAAGAAGAGAGGCCTCTCCTGTTGGTGACCCCACCCAGGCTGCGGGAAAAATACGAGCTTCACTTACAACAGTTCAATTCTTCTTACCACCACAATCCTGTCCATGAAAGCAACAGCCTACCACCGAGTCCCATGAGGATAGTAGAGGACGAGGAATACGAAACCACGCAGGAATATGAACCTACGCAAGAGCCTCCAAAGAAACTGGTCAACAGTCGGAGGGCCAAAAGAACAAAGCCCAATGGCCACATTTCCACTCGATTGGAAATGAACACTGACACGAGTTGTGGGAACAGTAGCTCAGAGAGTGAGACAGAAGATGAAAGGATAGGTGAAGACACACCTTTTCTGAGCATACAAAACCCTACAACCGCTGACCTAGAATCAGCTGCTGCATATAGGCTCACTGACACTAGGACTAACCAAGCCAGCCGCTTCTCGACGCAGGAAGAATATCAAGCAAGATTGTCTGGTGTAATAGCTAACCAGGATCCCATCGCTGTATAAAGGAGAAGGAGGAGAGAGAGAGAGGGAAAAAAACACTTAAAAAAAAACCCACATAGATTCACATGTAAAACTTTATTTTATATAATGAAATACTCCATGATTAAATTAAAACAATTTATTTTATTTTAGCAATTACGCTATTAGGATTTAAAAAGAAAAACACAGGAGGGGGAAAAAACTTTTATAAATTAAAATATATAATGTATATACAAAAGTGTTATGTGCCATATGTAGCAATTTTTTTACAGTATTTCAAAAATGAGAACGATATCAATGGTGCCTTTATGTTATGTTGAGAGCAAGTTTTGTAAAAGTTACTAGTGACTGCTGTTCCACAGTATTTTGCAGAAGTCTCTAACAGTCTGTTTCCCATCGGGTTCATGGTGGCTGGCTGTACGGTCTGTAAGAACTGCAACCTTCCCCTGTCTTGCTTGTCGTAGCTCTGATAAAAGAAAAAGAAAAATCCATACTGGCATACCAACCTAGAAACAAAACATGCTCATTCCTTCTTTGAAGAGGCTTCTATTTCCTTGCGTTTTATGAGTTTTTCTCTGACAAAAAACAAGACTGATTTTGGAACCCTTGAGAAAATGGGTAGGTTCAATAGCCCGCCATTGTTTTATTTGGTTTCTTAAAGGATAATACAGCTTTCAGGAACATAGAACTATATCCAATATTAGATACCCCTGTAGGTTTGTCCATTTGACTATAATTACCCAAGAATCTACCTGAATTTAAATAGGAGCTATCACTGCTACCACCAACAACCTTTTCACTCAGACACACATGGACATGCACAGACATAGTTTTGATTCATGTAACAATATTTCCTAGATGTTCGGAGTGATTTGACAGAAACATAGTGGGATCCAATCTGGCAGGAAGCCCTTCTATGCAAGCATCTTTTAAATTAATAGGATGGATCCAAGAGCAAGGAGTTTCTTGCTTTGGTGTCCTTTGTATAGGAGAACGTGCTACTGAATTATCTTGGGTTAAGTAAATTGTAGTACCAGAGCAGGTATTTTTAGACCATCAAGGAAGTGGATAAAAACAGAGGAAATGTAATACCCACTGCTAAAATTACGGTCATTTTGAAACAATATTTTCAGGTAGAGCATTTTTTTTTTCACTTTAAATTGGGAAGATCAATACCAAAAATAGGATTTCACGGTGGATTATCACTTCCTGTATGCTTAAATTTTCTAGTTTACATATGGATGGAATCCAAATGTCGTAAAATGAGCTCTGATAGAAAAAGATAAACATGTTCTGTATGCCTAGTGACCTATTATGTTTTTTACCTTAAGTATTAGTAAGATGAGCATGTTTATACTTCTCAGGCTCCCGTCATGCATGGGTTTTTGTTATATAAATATATATATATAAATATATGCATGCGGCCAGAAATAGATAGAAGCCGCCTTTCTTCGAGGCATGTTGGAGAAACAATTTGGACATGATAAGAGCAAGTGCATTTGTTTAAAGTTTGGCCCAATCACTTAGAAGGGTTCTATTTCTAGAGCAAAAAGATCAAGGCAGGTGAAAGAAGCTTGTCTAAGTGGAATGTATTCCTCTGGGGACAGGAAAAGGAGGCAGGAGGAACAGAGTGCTGTGCTGCAGATAGGAACAAAGTAATCATCTATGCTATGATTTTCTCCCCCAACTATGTAACCTCTTACCCCGCTTTCTGCATCATTTAGGCAGACTTAGTTCATACAAACAGGTCTGGTATTTAATTTGGCACCACCAGCAGCATTACTGCAGCTTCTAAATTCACAAGCCAGCAATTTATTTTGGAGACCTGAATCTGGGATAAAATTAGCCTTGATTTATAACGTACTACAGAGTGCAGCCCAGAGGCCAAAGACTAACAAATCTATTCTCTTGGCCTTCCTAGCATTGGCAATCATGTCCAGTTGATACTGTTGTAAATGAAAAGCAAAATGGTTTGCATAAGTGCTGCTGAGCTTTGGGAGAATCAGCAAGTAAAAAGTATTTTATAAATTAGACCCTGTGCTCAAGTTTGCTTAATACTGGTATCTTCACAGAAGGCCTAATTTTGGAGAATGTTAACTTGATTACAGGAGGCTAACAGGGCAATTCTAGTCCTATGTATTGGAAAATAATTATACAGTAGACTTCTGCATAAAACTGGTTAGAATTGTGCTATAAAATGATTTTTACATTTCAGAAGCACCAGTAAAACACATTCCCATGATGTAACATACATTCACTACGAGTTTCCAAATCATCATATTGACTTCAGCTGGGTATTGAAGCAAACTCTGGTGTTGACTTCTGATTCATAACTTTATTTGTGTTGCCTAATATTCACTTGTAGGCTTCAATTGCATTCCCTTTCTCTTGACAAAATAGGTTTTTTTCCTGCATTGCTTGAAGAACCCAACGCAGGGGCATCTAACCTTGGCAACTTTAAGACTTCTGAACTTCAATTCCCAGAATTCCCCAGCCAGCATGCTTGGCTGGGGAATTCTGGGAGTTGAGGTGCACAGGTCTCAAGGTTGATGATGTAGGGCACTCCTGCTCTAGGAGGTTCTTATTTCTAAGCATTTTCCAAATATAAACCCTTTTCCAAAATTGGATTATTTTATAGGAACTGTTTGGCTAAGATGCCAAATATTCTAAGAGAGGAAGAAGAATGAGCAGGGACATTCTTTCTTAAGCATAAAGTTGAACAGACCAGAGAAAGTTTTCCAGAATATTACCAATCCTTGACATTGTGGACTCTGCTATTAATATGCATACTTCTTCCAGTAATCTTCCTTTGGTTTTCTGTTGCTTCAGAGTCATTAAGGCTATTGTGTGTAGGCTATTCGGGGGGAAATAGTGAAACAGATATGTATATATTTCATTTTGAGTGCTTGATAGAGTATATTGGGGCTCCAATATGAAAGAAAACAGAAGAAACAATTTCAGATTTCAGGAAGACTATTCCGACTCTATAGCGTATGGTATAGATTAAAAAGAGTTTTAGAGACTACACATTTCACCAGTCTTATCGCGTTCTTCCAATAGTCGTCTGCACACATTCCTTTCTTTTAAATACATTAATGCATTCTATTCCTGCCAGGGCAGACAATATTTCCACTACATTAATATCCCTTTAATCTTTAACTGTCTTTCCATGTATTCTTCTGAAACTAAAACTCACCTATGCACGACTGTCTCGTGTTCTCCTTTCTGTGCTTACCAATACAAAACTGATAGGTGCGTCAACCTGATCTCCCTGCATTTTGGATGCACTTCATCATTCTCAAAACTTTCCTTGCAATATTGAAGGCGGGATCCCCAGAGGAACCTGGGAAGAGAAAATCCATGCATTTTGATTGCCTTGCCTTGCTGCTGAATCTCACTCTGGGCTAGTGGACTGGGGGAAAAGCCGTAGTGCAGGGGTGTCCAACCTTGGCAACTTTAAGACTTGTGGACTTCAACTCCCAGAATTCCTCAGCCAGCTTTGCTTTGCTGGCTGAG